TCTTTCCACTGGCTGCTGGGATCCAGGACACGAACCAAGGCAAAAACTGAACAGACAGACTGACAGAAAGACAAGTAATGATCTGGCACTGAATGCTCAGGCTGAACTGATTATAACCAAGAGGAAACAGGTGAGAGGAATAAATTATAATTGAGGCAGGGAGAGAAAAACGACAGGTGAAAGAGATTATCAATTAAGGAGGAGCAAACAGGCCAGATAATGACAGAATCAGCCAAGGACCAGCCAAGGGCCCTAGCATGAAAAGTGGGGAAATGTTGAATGGCTACTACTGTAGATGTCGTATTGAGACACAATACGGTGTTATCCTATATTTTGTTAAAAAATGTTTCAGACTTTCAGATTTCATGGGAGGAAGGGGAATAAAAGCTGCAAGTGACGGTGACTCAGACCAGGCATTCAGCAGCCGCCAAAGATCTGATTTGGGAATCCCATTCCTGATGAAGTTTTAGATTTGCCTCATTTATCCATTAATCAGCACTAGGTACAGAAAAGGTGGGGGAAAAATAGCTAAGCCTAAAACAGGGGTGTCAAACTCAAGTCCTTAAGGGTCTGTGGTGTCAAGCTACTTTAGATGTGTCCCTGGTCCAACACACCTGAATCAAATGGCCTAAATATCTCCTCAAGTTCTCCACTCCTGCTAATGACCTGGTTATTTAATTCAGACATGTTGAAGCAGACACATCTAAAAGGTGCAGGTCACTGGTCCTCGAACACTGCATTTTGACAGCTCTTGCATAAAAACTGGTTCTAAGGGAAAATTTATGCTTGCTAACTTCTTTTGAAAATACTAGAGCAAAATAATTGTTCAAATTTAGGTTTAGGCCCCATAAATCTGCAAGATGCGGAAACAACATAATATAAGGACATCAAAGTCTGCGAGTGGAACAGGTGCAAAATCATCTAAGTCAGCGTAGATCTTTGAACCTCTACGTCCCGCTCCGTCTTTGGTGTGACATTGGACTTCAGGACAGTTTATGGGATGTGTTGAAGTTCATACCTATGTGTTTTTAGTAGGGGTGTGCATTGGCACTGCCCTCACGATTCGATTCGATTACGATTCACCAGGTAACGATTCGATTCAACTCGATTCTACGATGCATTGCGATGCATCACAATCCCATTGACTTCGTAAAATCCGAAATGTGCCCAGATATCCGCTTTCCAAGCTTTTGGTGCGTTTTTAATTAGGCCTACCCGTCTATCGCGGTCATCTCCCTCCGCCTCAGCCATCTTGATTGTTGTTGGTATGCC